GGTTTTTTAATTCACTGTTTATATGTTTTTGTGGAAAATAATGTTCATCCTGATGCTTCCTGTGGTCTTAAAATGTTAATGTAGTAGCAGATAATCAGAACCATTTCCAAGACCCGTATGAAATTTAAGCTATTATGGTAAATAAGTAAATAAAATCACAAGGACACACCTTTTTTTTTTTTCTTTTATTTATATATATTATTTCTATAATAAAAATAAAAGTTAAAAATTTTTTTTTTTTTTTTTTCTTTTATTTAACTTCTGTCTTTTTCAAATTGTTCCTAAAATGAAGGTAACCTTCACTTAAAACTGAGTGATACCATTTCAGTTTGTAGGTGACTTTTCATAAGAAGTGATCACTTCTAATATTTGACAGTGCTAAAAGACGATTTGAAATGGTGATCCTCAAAACCAACGTAACAGAAATGAGAACAGTGATAACTTAGTTGCTGAAAATATTTTCTGAGGAAGAATGGATTTATTTTACTGCAGCTGCAGCTTTCACAGAAGTAGGTTAGGTAAAGTTTCACTGGTTTTAAAATTTAATCTTAAACAGCTGCTTGAGAACAGACGTAGTCATTGTAGATTGTTAAAAATGAGTGACCCATCAAGCACTGTTTACAGCCTTAGCGTTCATCTCTCTTGCTATATGTAAATAGTTCCCATCAGTGTAGTTATTAGTAAGTGCTTTTTTGAGGTTCAGATGGGATTTCTTATCATTTTTGCATGTGTTCCAGGTAGCATTTCAAGGTTTGCCAACTGGTTAATACACACCTAAATCTCTAAAAGAGTCTTTAGATAAATATTTTTTACCATCTGTATAATTTGACCTGTACCTGCTCCTTTGAGCTATGCAGTCTGCAGGCACTAAGTTCACTTCTCTGGTCCCATGCCTTTCCCAGTGTTGCTGGGACAAAGCACAGAGGTGGCCATGGCACAGGAAAGGGTGTCAGGAAGTTTTGCACTGCTGTTGTATGTAAGGACAGCTCATGCTCACCCTGATTGGTGTCCAGAGCTTCAGGAATGAATGACTGTCCTGGTAGACCCTGGTCTACAGCATGCTGTGTTGTGAGACAGACTGTAAGGGACAAAGTCAAATGCTTTAAAGTGAAGTATAAGAAAATTTATTCATGTTTATCATTTTTTACTGATAGTTTTCAAGGTTGTGTTGCTCACTGTGTAGTTTTTCCTGAGAAAGAGAATACCCAAAACGGCCACAATTTGTGTTGTTTAAATTACAGATAGACTTCATGGAAGTTCTGTTAAAACATCTGGAAAATGCTAAAAATAAGTGCAAACGTTAAAGTGATGCACCTTTCCTTGTGTGACAAAGTTCTCTGATCTTTTCAGAACTGAGAGTTCCTCTTCCACTCCCACAGAGTCCATTGTGGAATATTTTGTCTAAATTTCCTTATAATGACAGAGTCATAGAATTATGAAGGTTGGCAAAGACTCCAAGATCATCCAGTCCCATCATTCACCTACAACCAATATTTCCCCACTAAACCATGTCCATCCACACGTTCCTTGTACACCTCCAGGGACGGTGACCCAACCCCTCCCTGGCCAGCTTAATTAAACAAGCAGACATAGTAACCTGGCATATAAGGTTTTTCTGGAAAAGCTGTCTCTTTGCTTAAATTTGCTTCCAAGTAAATTATTTCCAGGAGATACAGTTGTGTAAAGAAGTATTAGACATGTATGCCAGACATGAGCAGGGTAGGTTCTCTGCCTTCCATTGGGTTCTCTCCAGGGACATGATCATGGGATGTCACCCACTGGTGACGAATGGGCCAGAAACAGTGACAGATGGAGAGGCTGAAATAGAGATGATGGTTAAATTCTGAAAGAAATGAATTAAAGCTTTTGCTCCCTACATTTTAGTTGAGTTTTCCAGGTATGGAACCCAGAAGTCTGAGCTCTGGTGTTCTGTCCAGTCTGGGCTTCTGTGTTCATGTTCTCACAGTCAGTTGAAGCAAAGGATTTATATAAACCTATTAGTTCTGTTCTGCTTGCCTTCATTTAATCATTTTATAAACTTGTGTCCATATACTGTTCTAACTGAGTGAATGAAGCTAAAATAGTATTATTTGGATTTTCTCCTAGGTAAACCCAACCAATCATCGCCTCCTCTTTGAAGTGTTTGACGAGAACAGATTGGTGAGTACCTGTCTTGGTTGTTTCCCAGAGCTGTGCAACACAGCTGATGGAAACATAACACACCGTAAAGGTGTATGTTTTCTGTTGTTTACATGGTTGAAGCATAAAAGAGGTTTACACAGACTGAAGCATACAGAGTGTCTGTTTTATGGGTTAATGGAACATTAACCACAGAAATTCGCTACTGGCTTAGACCAGAATGGTCCTCCTTAAGCTAAATGTTCTGTTGGTGGAAACCATATCATACTCTTCCTGAAGCTTCTCTGGTGTGAGCTGAAAAGCAGTCCTAGCCTTGTTATTTGCACATAAAGCAGCTGCTTCGTCCCCTGATCACTTGAGCATCTCTTTCCTGTACATTTTAATACTCAATCCTTTTTGAGGTAGTCAGTTACACAAGAGGTGGGTCCTTGAAGATTTTAGTTAATAGCAAAGTAACGCTCTGCATTTTGTGTTCAGTTCTGCCCCTGGTAACACCCAACATATTGCTAGGGCTTTTAGCCTTGAAGCTCGCTTGTCTGATACAACCACTGAGATGATAAGTCTTCCCAAAACTTACTGCATGTTGCTCTTGTTGTGATGAAGTGAGTACATTTTTCACATGGACATGCCAAATAGACAACATTCTGCATAACTGATTTTAAATGAGATGGCACGTTGTGTGGATGACTTTTAATTTTTGTCTGCTGAAAATTGGAGCACCATTTTCCTGCTCATGAGATGAGGCCTTAGATTTCTTGGTTCAGAGCAGTACACTGTCTACTGGACCTGCTTGCCTTGTTAGACTGGTGTTGTGAGGATCTTTTTTATTCCAAACAAAAATAGAATCATAGAATCATAGAATCACTAAGGTTGGAAAAGACCTAAAAGATCACCCAGTCCAACCGTTCACCTATTCCCAATAGCTCCTACTAAACCATGTCCCTCAACACAACATCCAGCCTTTCCTTGAACACCCCCAGGCTCGGTGATTCCACCACCTCCCTGGGCATCCATTGCAGTGCCTGACCACCCTTTCTGACAAGTAATACTTCCTCATGTCCAGCCTGAATCTCCCCTGCCGTAGCTTGAAGCCATTCCCTCTGCTCCCATCACTGATGACACGAGAGCAGAGGCCGACCCCCAGCTCACTACAACCTCCCTTCAGGAAGTTATAGAGAGCAATAAGGTCTGCCCTGAGCCTCCTCTTCTCCAGGCTGAACATTCCCAGCTCCTTCAGCCTCTCCTCATATGGCCTGTGTTCCAGACCCCTCACCAGCTTTGTTGCCCTCCTTTGAACACGTTCCAGGGCCTCAATATCTTTCTTGCAGTGAGGGGCCCAAAACTGGACACAGTACTCGAGGTGCGGCCTCACGAGTGCTGAATATAGGGGAACAATCACCTCTCTGCTCCTGCTTGCAACACTGTTTCTGATGCAAGCCAGGATGCCATTGGCCTTCTTGGCCACCTGGGCACACTGTCGGCTCATGTTCAGCTGAGCATCAATCAATACCCCCAGGTCCATTTCCTCTACGCAGTCCTCCAGCCACACCGCCCCAAGCCTGTAGCGTCGCCTGGGGTTGTTGTGGCCGAAGTGCAGGACCCGGCATTTGGCCTTGTTGAAACTCATCCCATTGGCTCCAGCCCAGCTCTCCAGCCTGTCCAGATCCCTCTGTAGGGCCTCGCTACCCCCAGGCAGATCCACACTTCCAGCCAACTTGGTGTCATCTGCGAATTTACTGAGGGTGCACTCGATGCCCTCATCCAGGTCATCAATAAAGATATTGAAGAGGACAGGCCCCAGCACCGACCCCTGCGGAACACCACTCACGACCGGTCGCCAGCTGGATTTGACTCCATTCACCACCACTCTCTGTGCCCGGCCCTCCAGCCAGCTCCTTACCCAGCCAAGAGTGTACCCATCCAAGCCTCTGGCTGCCAGCTTCTGCAGGAGAATGCTGTGGGAGACAGTGTCAAAGGCTTTGCTAAAGTCTAGGTAGACCACATCAACAGCCTTTCCTTCATCCACCAGATGGGTCACTAGATCATAGAAGGAGATCAGGTTGGTCAAACAGGACCTGCCCTTCATGAACCCATGCTGGCTAGGCCTGATCCCCCGGTCACCCTGCACATGCCGCATGATCTCCCTCAAGACGATCTGCTCCATAACCTTCCCTGGCACCGAGGTCAGGCTGACAGGCCTGTAGTTCCCCGGATCCTCCTTACGACCTTTCTTATAAATGGGAGTCACATTGGCAAGCCTCCAGTCTTCTGGGACCTCATAGAAAGAATGGAATTATTGATCTCCAAAAATGGCATTCAAGGCCATGTGATAGGGCCAAGTCCTGGGCAGCTTGGTTGGATGTCAGGCAACCAGCCCATGGCTGGGGGGATGTGGCGATCTAGTTGATCTTCAAGATCCCTTCCAAACTAAGCCTGTGTGGCGTGCGCGCAGCTGCAAGGGTGCTTGGGGTGAGTTTGTGCTGATGTGGAGGATGGAGCAGAAGCTCATGGAAGAGGTTTCGTTCTGCCTGCAGAGGGCAGTGGCATGCATGGGGATGTCCACGTGTGTCAGTAAAGAGGTGACAGCTTAGAAAAAAGACTACAACTCGGCTGTGCACTGAGAGCTGAGAACCAAAACGTTCAGTGTACCCTTTTCTGAAATACTTTATAGGATTTCTGGGTTTCCTTTCTGTGGCACTGGCCACATACTGACTGTTTCAGTGTTACTGTGTTGTTGAGCCATTTTCTGGTTGTTCTTTGTGCGATCCTGCTTCTGCAGGCTGTAACCTGGGGATGAGGAGCTGCTGTTTCATTTCAGAAAGCGTTGTGGAACAGTTGGCCAAGGAGAACAAGTACACAAGTTTATAGTGGCAAATTTCCATCGTGTTGTATTTACAGAGCAAGGCACCAAGCAAATAATTTCAGATTTCATGTGAAATACTTGTTGTCAACGCTTTCATGTCTTTTACCCCCCCAAAAAACTTTATTTTCTTCACATTCCAAAATTATCTGAGCACTTCCTCTCTGCAGTATATCCTTTCTCTCCCCCATCGGAGCAGGGGATGTATGATGCGTCTTCTTCTTCAGAGCAGAAAGAGACTGTGGATAACGGTTTACCTGAAAAATAAGATAAAATCAACACCTGTGCTTGCACAAGGCAGCTCCACAACACTGTGGCTGTGTAGAAGCTATCTGTGTTTTTCTTCTTGTTGGCTCCTGGTCCATTTAGAACAATAGGGGATTGTGCTGCCTGCTGGCAGTTGCCATGTTCGAAGCTTCCATTTCTCTTTGATTGGTCACTTTCTGTCTTTTGAAAGCAAGCTGCGTGCAAACAGAGGTTTCAACGTCTAGACAGAGCACTGACCTGCCACCGATAGTTTGTTGACAGCACTTCTCAGAGTTCTCCTAAGGAACAGATGTCTGTGCATTGAGCTGATCCTGTGCTGTCTCTTCTTGTAGATGTGCTTTTAGCTAACCGTGCATCCCCGGCACGTGCAAGCCATTGCGATGGTGGGTGCCCTTTGGCTGTCAGGATCCCCCAGTCACCAATTTCCTGCATTGCAGTGGAGCATATTTAGGGTGTTTGTTCTGCAGTTGGATGTATCCTGTCCGTCTGTTCTGCTTCTGAGGTCTCTTGGCTCTCACAGTGTAACTGTATTCCGTGCCTGCGATCACGCCCGTGGTAGTACTGCTAACTTTCCCACTGGAGGCCGGCCAGTAATGGGCAGAGTTTCTGTGTGCTGTTTAAGACAAATCGGTACCAAACGGCAATGCGACACCCGTCCCTGGTTTTCACTCGTCTTTACTGCCCAGTAAAACTGAAAAAGGAACTTTGCCTCCTGTCATTTTGCGCGTTTCTGCTGTTTTTATTGAGTGAGAAATCTTTGCCGTGCATAGGGTTGCTCCGTTTGCTGTAATTTTTACTGATTAAAAGGGGCTGCGCGGGCTCGCTTAGGCTGCGTTGCACTCATAGGGGCAGTGTGAAAGTTGTGGCTTTTTAAAGGCAAGGAGCTTGTTACTTAACCGTGCCACAAGCGCAGTTAAAATTGAAAGCGTAACGGTGCTATATTTACTCACGTTCTGCCATGATAGCCTCGTGCTGTAACACACACCAAAAAGTTAAGCTTGAAATATTGTTCCTTATTTGCACGTGGCGTTGACTTACAGCCCTAAAACCAAACCGCGGCGTTTGTGTTGTCATTAACTTTCCTGCTCCTTGTGCGAATGCGCCGTGCGGTACGATGTGATTTAGATTTATAGCGGCGCCGAGTGTGCTCGCTGCCTCGGTCAGCTGCGCTCTGATGGAAAAGGAGCAGCTGGGAAGGTGCTGTTTCAGGCTCTCGCTGGCATTAAAAAAAAACAACAGAACCCCCACTGGCTTAGATTGGAGAGGGGGAACCGGGCCACGTGACTGCCACCATCCTACCCCATGTCACAGTGTGTAGGAGCGCTGATTGCTCTTACCCAATCATGCCTGGAATGCTGCTTGCCACTTGGGCTATTTCTGCTATCTGTCGCTATCAGTGCTGCAGTGCTAACAGTTTGGCAGATGGGACACTTTTTCTTGGAGTTTATGTCTTTGGTTTTTAACTTCTGGCAGCGCCTGAATTGTTGCCGTTCTCCCTCTCCTTTTCTTCTCTCTGTAAAACCATGGCCCATCGGCTGCGGTTTCATTTTGGCTCTGGACGAAGCAACACAGCCCCCGAATCCGAGATCCTCGACCGGGAGAGAGAAGATGACTTTTTCATGGCATTCCACACTTTGCCGAGAAGAAGCAGCCCTCACGCTTTCTCCCGACACGGAGCAGATTACGGCGGAGGCAGCGATTTCCAAGAAGTGGGCTCCTTGAAAAGGAGCACCTCCATGTTTATTCCCCAGCTGCTGAACAGCATCAGCGCACGTCCCACAAGAAGCTCCTCGATGCAGATCTCTCTCCAGCGCAAGGCTGCAGATGAGTGCGCGACCCCGGAGACCCCCGAGGAGACTCCCCTGTGCAAAGCCTCAGATGTTAGGGAGCATTATGCGTCCCCCATTGAAAACCATTCCTCCTCTCAGAGCAGCCCAGAGGCGACTCCTGAGGATTCTCCACCCAGGCAGACGGAGGAGTTGGGGCAGCAGATGAATGGAACTCTTCGCTGTAACCGTAGGATATTCCGTACTATTCCTCCTAATAACCAGAGCGACGATGCTCTGTCCACCGCCCATGAGAACGAGGCAAAGGAAACAGCTTCAGGTCTGAACATCAGCGGCGTGAGGATTCAGCATCGTGCTTCGAGCGCCGATGTGCCTCAGGTTACTCTGCTGCCCTTTGGTTCCGAGGCTCAAAATAATGCTCCCACCCCTGAGCCCCGGCGCTGGTCTCTGCAGCACGTGCCAGACATGTCAGCAAATTCGGGGAAAAAGTTCTTTGTTCTCCAGTTACAGCAGCCGCAGGCGAGTGGTACAGGTGGTGAGTATAACTTCGGCTTTACTGGGACAAAAGGGGACAGACTGGTCAGGTACCCACGCATTCAGCTGGAGAGGAGCGCTTCCTACCCCGTCCAACCACGGCCGGAGGAAATCCGCCCTGCAGGTGATGGGCGGACTTCAGAACTGCATGGAAGCGGCAGGAGCGGGTCAGAAATATCCAGAAGCAATTCAGTAGAGAAGATTCCTCAGGGGAAGGGATGCCTGTTTAAAATCAGACCAGATCAAAACACGAGGCAGCAGCACTTCCGAATCCTTGTCACCCGTAATCCCGAGGAGCAAAGTCCAGTTGTTGGTGCAGAGTGTCGTGGCACCCCTGGTCCTGCGGCAGCCAGCACCACGGTGAGTACGATGCTGAGTGTGCTCTGCTCATAACAACGTACCGAATTGCTGTGCAAAGGCTTTTAAACCTGAGGCAACTGGAGGGCTCCCTTGTTAGTGCTAGAATGTTCGCTGTTTCTCTGGAACTGGCCGCCAGTGATCTCTGTTTCAGATCTGCCTTAGCTTTGCTCTCGGCTGTGATTATTGCCTTGTAGTATTTTGAGATCCTAACGTCACATGTTGCACATCGGATTCTTTATAATCAGAACAATCAAATGGGAAATTAAGGGATCGTGTTAATTTCGTTGGCTGGAACCTTGCTGCATAAGGCATTCTTTGTGCAGTTTGTAGTCTGAAAACAAATACTTTGATAACATTTAAGGATAGTGCTCATGTGTGTACCTCTGTGACTTTAAAAATGTGCATCGTAGTGCAGTACGAGCTAAGGCTGTAGAAATCCCATGGTAAGTCTAATGAAGACAGTGGCCTAGCAGGTAAGGTATCAAGAAGTTGGGAAAAAAAGAGGGTTAGGGGCTTTTTTGCTTGCTTTTGGCCTTCTCCAAGTCAAGAGCATGTCGTGTTTTTTTTTGTGTGCTGCAAGTCCTGATCAAACTGCTATAGAATCAGCTTGTCACGACTCAGGAAATTGTGCTGTCAGTTCTGTTTGCTTTGGTTTTACTTTAAGGTGCCAAGATTCATCTTCTGGTCCTTCTTTTTGTAACAAATGAAGTCTGAAGTTTAATGTTTTTAAGCCATTTTTAAAAGACCAAAGCAGGAATGAAAGCGAAGGGTTTAGATTAGTCATTTGCTTAAATTGCTTTACTGTGCAATTTAACACTGCCCACTTGAGTTCCTGAGCTCAGTGATGCTGTATATAGAATAGCAAGCTCTCTGTCTCCAGCTGTGAAAACAGATTCACTGGGGAAGATCTGGGTCTTCGCTGCCTGTGTTCTCATTCTGCTGTGCTTTTGTTCAGTTAAATGCAGTACGGAGAGACAGCTGCTCGCAGCAGCAAGGCCGTATGATGACTCTGCAGCTTTCTTGTCAAGAAGCTGGCATCTCTGAGCTATTCTGGTGTAACTTTCTTTTGAGCCCTTCAGTTATTATTATGCATAGAAAATCACAAATTACAGAGAAGTGTTAACAAAGATAAACACTGGAAAAGATCTTTAAACAAAGAAGTACAGTTTCACTTCGCTTTCTCTCAGCTAGCAGCTCCACAAGTAGCACACAGTCTCTTTCCTGCTAACCTAGAACATTTCAGCAGCAAACTCTGGTGTGCAGAATCTTTCTTGATTTTTCTTCTTCATTTGAATTTCATTGGTGCAGTACATTGTGTTCTATCTCACACAAAAAATATATGTCTGGTTTTCCTACTGATCTCTGGGTACTAGCAGTTCCTGGAGGACCACCACAGCTGGCTCTATCAGTCGGGGCAGTAGGGCAGGTCCGGTGGAAGCACTGGCAGTTGGGGCAGCTGGTGGAGGTGTGCCCATAGCTTCACCCTGTGCCCCTGCAGGGGTCCTCCTGTTTTGAAAGGTGACAGACCCCAGAGTCACTTTTCTGGTAATGAGTCACATACCAAAGATGTGCTTCACTGTTTCCAGAAGAGAATTAAGCAATTTGTTCCTTCACGCTCTTGGTTTTAGTTACCGCATGAAATCAATTTGGCCATCCCTGAAGCATGGCAATTGCAGGGGCACTCACTCTGAGAGAAAGTGCGTTCCTCAGTGCAAAAAAATCAAATTAACAAAAAAATAAAATAAAATAAAATTGCAGTGTAAATCTTGCGATGTTTCTCTTATTTCTAACAAGCCCAGGGTGGCTGGTTGGCAGGTCCGTTGGAAGTGGAGGCAGTGCTCTGCTGAAAGCCTGGTGTGGTTTATCGGCATATAAACCACAGGTGTGTGCCAGTGCTGATCTGCACCTCACGGTGCTGAAGAGGGCTGTGCCTGCAGCGTGTGCTCTGTTACACTGCCGTGCTTTAGAGCTGTGAGGGTACCACATGGCACCCTGCACTTACATGGCTTTGTGTGTACGTGGTGGATCCTGGGCCTGGGGCTGCAGGCAGCAGCTGCTGCTGCCGTATTTATCTGCAGTGGAACACTCAGCGTGCGTCGGCAGTTCTGCTGCTCCTGAGTGGTTATGGCCATTCTGTGTCTGCTGTCTGCAGTGTTGTAGGGCAAGCGGGATGCATTTCATAATGAGTTGTCAGAGAATATTAAGAGACACACTTATGCCCAGTTGTCTTTCTTGTGGCAGCATGCTTGCAGACTCCTTTGACTGCTGTGATATTTTACACGCTGTGTACATATATCCTGTGGCACAGAGCAAACAAACTGTCTGTAGCTTGGGATCTGAGTGCATATCTCTGTCTGTGGGGAACCCTTCAGAAATCCAAAGTATTGGATGGCTGTTTGGGACTGGACAAAGGCATCTTTGTTGTTACTGAAAAAATGGAAAGTGCTTGATGTTGTGGTGGTGCTGAGCTGCGTTCAGCTGGCAGACAGCACAGACAAGTCCTGGCTCTGCCAGCCCACATTTCGCAAGTCGGCACGTATCTTCCTTCCTTCCTTTAAAATAATGTTGGGATGAGCTTTGTTGTGAGCGCAGAGTGCTCTCCTGAAGGCAGCAGCATTGCTTCTTGCACTGTTCTGCCCTTTACTTACACATCGTGCACCTTTCACAACTTGGTGATGTCTGGGATGTCAGCGGGGAATTGCAGCGTTTTAATGAAGCCACTCTCATGTGAAGCCACTGCCTTCAGCTGTGGCCATGGTGAGGTCCGTGCCTATGAGGAGCAGTTCTCATCAACAGAGCACAGGTTGCTCCTGTGTGCAGAACACTGCACTGGGGCAGAGCTGCAGGAGCCCTCCCATGAAATCAGCAGTTAGCAGCTGACAGTTAGGTGACCACAGTGCTGTTGCTGATGAGGAAAATCTCAACTCTTACATAATAAAGTGCTTTAATGCCTTGCTATATGATGATGGCACACAATGTATTTTGACAGTTGTTTCCTCTGCAGAGGAAAGCTGTGAGCTTCTCTTAGTTCTGCTGTTCCCCTCACCACTCTCCGTACTTGTGATACCAGCTTAGTGTAAGTGCCTGCTATTAACTTCTTACCACAGTGCTTCCGTGAATTGGAAAATAATTCCAAGATGACAAAATTTGGCGAAGGAAGGTAGCGACCCACGCAGTCAGGTGCTGCTGCTGCTCTGACGTGTCAGCACCATCCTCAGTTCTGTCCCAGCAGAAGCACTGTGAGTTTGACCTCTCTGACCAGTCACGCTGTGGGTTATTCATCACTGGTGTAACCTGAGGGAATGCATGTCCATGAACCCACTGATCGAAGGGGGGACTATTTGCTGGTGTTCAGCTGTGTTACGAGGGTAGCTTATAATGCTGAATTGAGTCTGTGGATGACAGACTTCTCTGTGTAGGAATAGAAGTGGATGTCTGAAGAGCACAGTGCTTGCAGTGACTTTCTTTCAGCGAAGCCATACAACAATATTTCTGCCGCAGTTTGACTTCAAGTTAATATCACATCTGTTAGAACTTACGTAAACGTGTATGGATCTCCCATGAAAGCACAAATAGCTGAGCCATCAGTGGCATGTGTTGACAGCAGTTTGTCAGAAAAGAGATGTGATTGTGATGTCCAGTATCATGTATTGTCAAGTAAAGGGGTGAACGGGAAGAATGTCAATTAACTTTTTGTGAGCTTGTATTATTCCCTATTTTTGGTCAGAAGCTGTCGCCACACAGTGCTCCACATGCTTGTAGTCTGTGATGTGGAAGTCTTGGGATGTTTTTGCTTGACCCAGAATCAGACAGTTGAAATGCAGTCTTTATTTAGTTCTACACACTGGAAGAGAAAGTTCAAATATAAAATACAGACCAGTTAATGAAAACAAGCATTGTGCTTTTTTAGCTTGAGTACTAATTCTGTAGTCAGTCTCCAGAATTATGTGTCTTTCAGGACAGTTGTCAGTGACTGCTTTAGTAATTTTGCTCCTATGTAGCATTGCCACGTGGGTTATCAGTGATATTTAAGGAAGAAACTTCCAAATCACTGCAAGGCATGAAAGTCAGTGAAATAAATGTATCATTTACAGTCCTTCAGGGTTGATGGATTTGCTTTTGACCCCATCTGTAGGCACCGCTTCCTCCGTGGTTTTGCTTTCCATTTGTTTCAGATTTCTGGATCCCTTTGGGTTGTGGCAGTTCCACACAAGAGTTGGCAGAGCTATACCAGGGCTGTCCATGCTGTTTTATGACAGTGAGAGGCAGAGCAGGAATAAATACTGTGTGTTTTACCATGGAATTTGCAAACCATGGGACATTTGGGTTAGGATGAAAATTGCTTCTGGGCTGTATTTGTTTTTCTTTCATATGCAAACTGATCTGTGTGTTTCAGTGAAACAGATCCTTCCATGTTTTGGTGTAAACTATGGTAATGCCTTGAAAATCTCTTTCCTGAGATGGTGCTGGGACAGTAAGTGGGTTATGTGTTGCTGATCTTCACAAGAAAAACTGGTGGGAATATTTAAAAATAAAATAAAATGAAAGGGAGATTTCTACCTCCCACTCCCCCTCCCTCATTCAAGGAACCATTCAGGAGGTTCTGTTTCAGGATCTAGTGCTAGCCCAGTCCCTGGAGGAGGGAAATCCCAGTTTTCCTTTTAGTGCTGTCCTTCACACAGTGCTCAGTGCACAGCGTAAGGTTCTTCATCCTTAACTAGCCCCAGGCTGATACTTCTTGGGACCTGAGACTCATCCTGTTCCTAACTACACCAGCTACCTCTGCTCCTCTGCTTCTGCCCAGCGTCAGCACGGCATGAGACGTGGGGAGCTCCCAGCAGCACTCTGCTCCCTGTGCCCCACCTGAAACCCCCTGGCACATGGCTGCCCTGTCCTGCTCTGTGTCCCTGGGCTGCCTGCCTCCTCGCAGCAGCTACTGAGAGCCACGTGGTTCGATATGGCAGGCACCAAGGAAAGTCACACTGTTAACTGCTTACCTGCTAAATTATGTTGTAGGGGTTGCATAGTGAG